CCCCAAAACCCCAAAACCCCAAAACCCCAAAACCCCAAAACCCCAAAACCCCTCCTTTCTAAAGATTTATTGCATATAATAAAACTAAACATGGAAGGTAATAGCATGCAAGAAGAAAAGATATTAACTCTTGACACTCATAATTCAAGTGACTTGATTCACGAAACAAAGGAGAGCATGAAGGTTGTCTTGGAGCAGGCTAGTAGCCCTCAGCAGTTTATCATCTACTTCTTAACAAAGTTATTTGGAACCTCAGATTTTCGAGTCGAAATGATGACACTCACCCACAACGGAGAATCTCTGAAAAGTGTCTGTGCGAAGGCATTGGGCGGAAACGATGTTGCCTGGAGATGTGAAGACTGTGAACTAGACCCCACCGCCATCATCTGAGTCGAATGATTCGAGAAATCCAACCACGAAGGTCATCGAGTCACTTTAAAAAGAGGCATCGGTGGATGCTGCGATTGAGGAGACCCAGCTGGAATCAAAGAGGAAGGCTTCTGCACAGACCATAAAGGATACAAGGAGTTTACAGATGAAGAAGCCCTAGGACACCTCACTGAAGGGGTCAGGAAAAATATCTTAGTTGTATTTAAAGCCTTTGGACAGCTACTACATTCACTTATGTTAGAAGCTGAAGACTCTCCAGAGCAATCTGAAGGACTTTCAGTGAAGGCCAAAATATTAATTTGCTATAGCGTTGTGGACCAAGTCTTGCAAATATCTCCTATTTTTATTCACTTCTTTACCCATATGTTTGCACAAATCCACCCATTGATCGGAACGACGAAGCACGAATGTTTCCCCACATGATATATTGATGAAGCCCACAAAGCCCAGCTAGAAGCAGAAGAAAACGAAGTTAGCACCATGATGGATGATGACTCTGAGAGTCACCCATGTAGATGAATCCTCCTCTCTTTAATCTGGAAAAATAGCAAAAACGATGCAGAGAAACTGATGGCAGACAACATCAGTTTCACGATGTTCCAGAGCTTCAGGTTTAAGATCCTGGCAGGATATGCTTACATCTATAACATTGAGAGATATTTAGAAGCCCATTCAGAGGGTTCAGATAGCAGATTTGCGCACCTATCAGTGCAGATCCTGACAGTCCCTCAATTGTCGCTGGATATTCTGAAACAAAACTCCTTGAGTAAGTCTCCAAGAAGTTTCCTCTCTAATTTTTGTAGGAGAAAGAATATGGAATTGTTTCAAAAAGTACTCAAAGATCGACTCAAACAGCCCTTCCCATTACAGACGCTGAATCTACAGTATTCATTATGATTTCAAGTACATGATGAAGAAGGAGCCAATTGATTACCTTCTGCAGACAAATTTTCTGGACCAATACATTGAATTCTGTAAGGATCTTTGCCTCAGAGATGCTGTGGAAAACCCGACCTCTCATATTCTGTACCAATCAGATGGATACTTTGTCAATTCCATTGATTACCAGTACCAGATAAATAAGACATGATTGATGATCTTCAATGAGATCAACTATGCTGACCTAAAGTTCAACAAGTATGTGGCAAAGCTCTTCCAGCAAAACATTGCTCACTTGGAGAGTAAATTTAATGAAAACCTTTCGAAGGGATTCATCGAAGATCCTCTACTAAAATGTTTCTCACTATGGCTTTCCAACTATATGCTGACCAACCTGACTATTGAAGAGAGTAAACGAGAAGACCAGAAGTTTGACAACATGAAAGATACCTACACTACCACCTCTAAGATCCTGGGGGAGGTATTCGCAGACATTGAACATACTGACCTTAACCACATGATTTCGATCGTAGCTAAGGTCGCCTCGAGATGTATCGGCTTCAGTGACGAGATCAGAGCCCAGAAATGGATCTACCTAGGTTTAGAAGTATCAATCATTCCACAATGTTATGCAGAACGATTCAGGTACCTCTTCTACGACATTGACTTCTTCCTGATCCAGGCCTTATTCATCCTGACTGAAAACCCAAAGCAGTTATTTAGAGACTTTTTGGAAGGATATTCAGTCGATTCTACTCTCAATAATGCATTCACAAATATGCTATTTGCTGGAGATGAGACATCCTTTGAATTCGGGAATCAATCAGATAAGGAGGTTTCATGCATTAAGAACTTTCTATACTTCATTAACCAATTAATGACAGATGATAGGTCGGTCCTGTATAAGTGGATGGATCAGCAGCATTTCATTGAGTACCCTCACAAGAATATCATCAAAGCAGCTACAGAAAAATACATGGATAAAATATCTTCAAATGAAGCTATCCACGCATTGGTCAGGCACAGTGGCACCAATATCAAGAATATTCTTTCAAAATCTGAGAAGCATCTGTTTGAATTTAAGAACTACGAGGAGCATATTGTAAAATTCGCCAGGATGAACAAGAACAGAGAGGGGATCAGCATTTTCAGCTTGGACCCTAAATACATTTCCCATTACAATCCATTCTTCTTCAACGACATAAATTCGTACATTGAAGGAATCAAAAATTACGATGAGTACTATAAGTCTAAAGTAAAGGACTCTGATGAGGAAAAACAGGCCAAGTATAACCCACTTAAGATAGGCAACTCAGGAATGGGTTTCTACCTCGCCATGCTGAGAGAGGCTGTCATGAGAACCGACATCGTCAAGATCCTCCTCTTCATGCTTGAGAACCGTAAGGTCCAAAGCTTCATTGATAACGAAGTTGAGGAGTTCGTTGCTCATATCTTGACAATCCTGATAGACTACGCCATCGAACAAGAGCACAACTATGCGGATGAGCTTACTCTTCATGACTTCCACACAACACTAGAGGCGAAAAAGAGTCTCTTCGAATCACTCGAGAAAGAGCCTCATTTCAAGCAACTAGAAAAATCCTACAAAACACTCATGAAAACCCAAACTGAAGATAAAGACGAAGAAGAGAAAGAAGGGGAATCCCAGAAGAAAAAGAAAATTGATAAAAAGAAAAGAGCAGAAATGATGAGGAAGAAAGCCCTTGACAAGATCAACAAGAAAAGGAACAAGATCGTCAAGGACATTAGCATGAGCTCAGAAACTGCCTCAAACTGTGATACTTCCTCTGTAATGAGTGAGCAGGAGTCTTCAGCCCCTCAGTGTCAGAAGTGATTCGAACCTCTTACATCAGAGGATTTCAATGATAACCCATATGGATACCTCTGATCTATCGTAACTACTCAGCTTTATGCTGATTCTTCAAAACAGACATTCTCAAAGCAGAAAGAGAGGCACCTCTCTTTCTATGACTCACTTGGATTCTCGGATAACATAAATAAGCTGCAATTTGACCCTGGATACCTGAAGCAGAGAACATTCCTGAATGAGGATAGCTCAGGAGTGGTCATTAACAAATGCCAGCATATGATTCACTATGACTGCTTGAAAACATTTAAGTCCAAGAACTTCGAGACTAGAGCTTCGTTTATGACCAACGATGATCTTGATATAAATAACTTCCAGTGTCCACTCTGTAAGATGCACTCAAACTGCATCTTGCCTCCAGCCGAAGAAATTATGAAAATTGAGCCTGAAGAGCTCAGTGAAATTACTGAAGATGATCCTGAGAAAAATTTGTTGAACATCTATCTAGACCTGGTAAATATAATGAATCATAAGATTATGGGAGAACTGAAGCCACCTCCAAGCTCAATTTTGCCATGCGATTTAGCTAAGGCAAATAATACAATTGTGAATATTTCCAGAGAATACGTGAACCATTGTATTCAACTTACTGATGTCAAAGGCATCAGTTGGGCTCTGAACGAAACCCCAAAGCTCAAAAGTATCCTTAAAATGGTAGAATCTTTGATCAGGTTCGATACAGACGAAGATGCTCAGGTAGATTTAGCCATGCCAGGCTGTTTCAACGAGAACTTCCTCAAGATAGACCTCTCAGATCTTGTTACCTATCTTGCCATCACTGAGTACTATGATATCACTAAGAGGGAGCTTGAGTTTGACTTTGAAAACTTCCAGGAGCTCATGAAGATAGGGTACGCGCTAGTGCTCCTCCAAATCTCAGCTAGGCTTATGTTCGAGAAGCAAGGCTTTAAGATCGAAAACTTCCATAAAGAAATTACTTTCGAAAACCTCACCCAATTAGTCGAAACTATGAATGCAGGACTTGAGGTTGGAGGCCAACCAATCGAGACGAGCACAAAGTACATCGAAGGGTCATTGTCTTACCTCAGAAAGATGGCTATTCTTGTCCATATTTTAACAGACAGAACTCGAGGTACCGCTCTTGATTAATTTATATAGAGTTTAAAAAGGAGATCAAGAACTTGTCCAACCCAGCATCAACATGTGAGCCTGATGTTGAGCTGTCGACTCTCCTGAATATCCTTGGATTTGATATCCAAGATCTTTCCAATAATTTCGCCTTTATTGACATCGTCAAAGAAGTGCAGAGCATTGAAGCCCCAAAGCACCAATTCTGTGAGAATCTTCTCGAATATTTCAACCAAAAATGTGAGCTTACCAAAGAAGACTCCTCCAGCAAAGAGAAAGATGTAGAAATGCAGGATGAAGAAGAGAAAATTGACCCAGAAAATGACAAAAATGAGCCAGAAATCAAGATCCCAGACGATATAATTCCTACGAATCTTTACTTGCTTACTCCAGACTACTACTTTACTTTGCTACCTCTGGACCCTACTCTTGAGCAGTTGACAAAGAAGTACTATAAGAAGGAATGCTCTCTTTGCCAGAAGTTGACTAGGAGAGGAGCTATCTGCCTCATTTGAGGAGAATACCTATGCATAGCTAGCTGTGATAAGCATTCAGGCATCCCATCAGCACTGGGTAACCTGACCAAGCATTCCAGAAGCTGTGGAGGAGGCACTTCTTCATTCATTTGCCCCATCGAAGGTCAAATTATACAGATCTATAGAGGCTTAGTGGTTGAAACTAAAAGCCCATACACAGATAAGTATGGAGAATGCTATGATGAAAAGGTAAAAAGACACGAAGTCTTTAAACTTCAGGCTTCCCATTATAACGAGGTGCGTGCGAAATTCCTCGAGTTTGACATACCGAACACAGTTATCACCAAGAGAGCTAACAAACAAAGAGTTTATTTACAGAACGTGCTCTAATTGCTGTCTCAACCAAATTTTAGTTTATTGGGGTTTTGGGGTTTTGGGGTTTTGGGGTTTTGGGGTTTTGGGG